AAATGAAAATTCCATTGATTTTACACCTACGCATGTGCTTCAAATGAATTGTTGGTGTGTAGACTGTTTTTCGGGCTATCGAAGCACTGCTCAAGATACACAAATAAGGGGAGCTCACTAATTCCTGCTGCTTCCCAGTCTAAGCGTTATACATCTAGACTATCTAGATTCCGGTACTCTAAATCCTACAGAAATGGCCTGAAGTGGACACCTCCGTTCACGTGGATTCCCGCGTATGTGCCTGTTTGCCAGTATTAGTTGGCTTTGGCTGCTAACCATCTGAGTTTACGACGACGTAGCCGACCACTGAAGGGTTATTGGAAAGCCAAGCGCGCAGTACATCATCAGCTTCGTTCTGAGACCCTGACATCGTGATACGCGCATTCGATGAGGCTGTGCCCGTCGCTGTCCATCAGATCCCAGGGGGAGCGCAGAGAAGCCGGAGAAGTAGAAAATGCGGGAACCTGTGACGAGGAGATGCGATTATGCTCAAAAAGATAAAAGAAACGTCAAAGACGACGTATTACAATTACTTTGGGTTCCAGGCAGACGCCGTCCCCACAGGATCTGCACTTTCGATCTGCACCTCTACTGGGCGTGTGTGCATGGGCCTCCCAAAGTGGGCAATCCTGGAGCGTGACAAACCTTTTAGAGTCGTTTGAAGTGTGAACTATAAGTTGTTTCCACTGAGCCTGCTTTGTAGGGGTATCAAGCCCTCCGAGGCAAATCCGGCGTGCAGAGTCACTCGCCTTCCCACCGTTCCCCTAGACAATTTGTAGTGCTGCCCTTGCGTTCACTCGCCTAGGGCGTGCCTCAACCAATGTCAGTTAGTATACGACGTCCCTAAATAATATGCTGAATTAATTTGCATTGTTAAATAACCACCTATAGCATGAAAGGGAGTTGAGCCATGCCTGTGCTTGCATAGGTGGCCGAAGTGGTGGGGTAGAGGCACAGCGGGGCTGTAGCTTGGCGTTTAGGAGGAGAAAAGCACTGCATGGATATAATAGCAAAACACCTTATGAAGTACTTCCTCTAAAATAGGGTAATGTTGTGGACTCCCTCGCGATTTGCGTTTGGAAGGAACCACACTGATCCAGTTGCGTGCTGGTCTTCTTGCCCATTTCGTAATGGTCCTTACTCTGGTCAGCCCGACATGCGGAAGCGACACGAGGTGCTCTTTCGACCTCGGCAAGAAGGCGTTGTAATTCACGGGACTAACGTATTAGACACCAGGAATAATTATTTTTGTGCCAATCAAATTCTGCCAGCCTGTCAACCAATGCTGCAGAATGGTTCGCACGATCAGCTCTGCCCACCGAAAGAACAAGAGAAAACGTGTTCAATTCAGGTAAAATAGTACTGTCCTAGACAGACCTGAGGCACGCTGTGGTAGGACTGCTCCGGGGTCCTATGCGTAGCTGCGGCAGGCAGCAGCAGCCCGGGGTTCACACGTTTCACATGCCCAACGCCGAAGTGCAGAGGGCAAGGGGACATACGTTGGTGTACATAGCTGACGGTTGATATTTATGTTTTCTTGCATCGTCTTCACCTTAGAGCTGGGTTGGCGCTTTTGATCACCCGCTCGGTTTCACTTGGCTCGCGCATCGGGAGTTGTGCGTCGCCTAGGCTAAGATTTCTGCTGCTTTTATCGCTTTCTGCAATATGAAATAGTTTAAGCGTTTTTAAGGTCAACTGCGTTACCTAAAGGTGATGAAGAGTGCGTTTCTCTCGTTTTTTAGGTTGTTCTTTACTTTGAGAGTGTAAGGTTTGTAACTGCTGGACTGCTGGGGCCACCGTCGGCAGACTTGCATCCGCCCCAGCTCACTGCTCCAGCGTGTATGGCGACTGCCCAAACATTGTGTTGAACTGCATCTGGCTGAAGAGATGAAACAGTGTAAGCGCACTCGGGAGAAGCGAGTATGTGAAGCTTCCCCTTGCGGTCTGCAGCTCACTTGCTACTGCACATTTCGTGCGGTTAAGCGAACTAGAGTTTGTAAGAGCTACCGCAATAATGAAGGCGCAATTTTCCCACTTATCTTGCAACAGAGACGAAAGCTATATGCACTCCACTATTTCCGATAAGTTCGTTGTGCCCGTCCGACGAGCGTGCACCCAAAAAGGCCTGAGCAGAGTCCTTCTCTTGAGCAGGCATTGGCTTGGTTCCATTAATAATTTGCGATCACACTGGTGGGCAGTAAAAAGATGAGGCGATATCTAACGTGCATAACCACAAAGTTTAGGGTTAATCCCGAAGATGTGGAAACTTGTAAGCAACGATGACGGCAATAGGGTACCACGCTAAATTTATGCTTCGGCAGCTGCGCCAACTCAGAAGGCGGGCAGAAGAAGCATAATAAAAAGAACCGCGGAAGAGAAGGCGATCAAAGCAGGGAATTTTTCCACAGGTGGTAGTGGTTCGTGCAGATTCCTGATGTTGAGGAGACGCGAATATCGTCATCAATAAGGCACAAGGATGCTTACCTACCCACTGGATTTGCAATCGCACTGGGTTCCACATACCAGCAGGACGACTCGCCAACCTTCTGAGAAAAGGGAATTTAGTGCATCTCGTGCAAATGGCAACAACGAGACGGTGTAACCTTTTACCTTCGACGGAATTCACTGCCAACCATGGACCCCCAGGATGCATAATCCCCCGCTCTAGAACCAAGCGGGCTGTGGCGCCCACCATTCCTTCCTGCGCCATCTGATGCCATGTAGGTGTACCTGTCGCTAGCAGGAGTCTGCAGCTGTGTTAAATTTGCCCCTGAGTTGCAGAGGTCGCACGGACCCAGTGCACCGAGATTAGGAAGAGAGCTGCAGCTAGGCGAACTTGCTCTAATGCTTCCGCAGGCGTAAGAACAATCACTGTATATCGTAGGAGACTCGTAAGCTTTCCGAGATGAAACGCTGGGATTAGCAGGCTCCTGTGGTATGCACCCGCCACCACGTCCCTGTTCACATCGTCGCTTTGGCGACCTCAGAGGCAAATGAGGCGCAGAGGCCGTTGGCTCTCTCGAAGAGGGGCTCAAAAATGTTTCTCCGAATCTTACACTTGCTTCTCGTGCAACAGGGCATGAGACAATTTTTGCTGTGCTCTCGCACCGGACGTTTACTGACGCTTGGGGGGGTGAATGGCCCTCGATTTTGGTTCGGCAGCGTCGTACTTGCGGTCTAGGAAGGCGATCAAGAACTGCCCTTGCTACTGCAAAGTCTGAAGCAGCTGCGCCCAGCTGCCACTCAAGAATAGGAAGCAGTAGGTCGTCTTCTTCCAGAAGAAGCTGGCATACCATCGCATGCGACTGATGGAGCTTCGCTTGTCCCGACAACACGTATCGACTGCCTTCAGCACAACGGGGTGGTGCATCCGGTGGAGGTATGACCTCCGCTGTTGTCAGGTGTTCAAAGGAAAGGAGCAAATCCAACAGGCAATCTTCATGCTGCTTCTCTAGCTTGTCAAGCTGCACGCGTATACGGCTCTTCCGTTTTTCGGGAGACAGTTCCACAGGAGGGCGACGGCGAGAAAAGCAATCAAATATGCTAGTAGTACCTGAACCAAGTTGCTTGACCAAGCGGTGACTTGTAGCTTCTCGAAACTTAGGTGCGAGGGCAAGCATCGTGTGTACGGCCATGTTCAAGTGCCGGCACGCCTCGCACAGTTCCTCAGGGGGCAGCTCCTTTACATCCCCAGTCGAACCTAGCGGTAGTATCCGCTCGAGCAGGGACAAGGTGGCTTCTAAGTGGTCGAGCTGTTGCAAGAGCAGCAGCTTTTCTTCGAGCAAGTCGCCATCGAGGCTGGCGACCTCATTGCGGATGCGTGCTGCTGTTGTCTCCAGAACACTCTGGGCTCCAGCTAGGAGCACTGAGCGTGAGTTCGGAGGTCCCTGAATAGTTTCCGTTACGTGAGTTCGATGACGGCCCATTGTGCTGGAACTCTGCGTCCACCGAGCACCGTTCACTCTCCGCAGCAACTGTGCGCGTGGGGCAGTAATGCTCAGCCTACATCCTATTTAACCCCTTCACAAGCGAGTTTAGTGGCATATTCCACTCGAGGTTTTTGCTGGTGCTTTTTTTCAGGCGCTAATCTAGCAATGTTGCCGCTGGCAACAGCCCGCACCGCTGCGGGGCCCCAAGCGCAGTATTTCAGTATTGCCGGATACTCTCGAAATAATCGGAACCGAGGGTTCTTTCCCCTCTATTTTCCGCCATTTCTTTATACGAAGAAGCCACCGTAAAAATGGGGGGACTATTTCGGCGGGAGCTCCGCGCATCTTTACCAGGGACACGGAGCGGAAGTCGATCTGAAGGGTCATCTCTTCAAGAAGTTCAAGGCGCGGCCTTACACTGGGTGGAAGCCTTGAAATCCCATATATTTACGCTTGGTAACAATATGTTCAAAGTATAGACGGTTTTTGCTGGAGTGCATGCCGAGCTGATTCGTGCTTTCCGCTCGAATGGGTTATTTGGTGACCACCGAAGAATTGCGTGTCACCTGGCAAGCGGCTCTCCCTGAGTCCGCTGTATTACTTTTGAATAGCACCCCCGAATTTCCCCCCTATACCCATCGCTGGAACATTTGTCCCGTCAAACACATACGGGTTCCTAGGTCCTCTTCTCCCCCTGTCGACACGTCTTCCTGTAAAAAATGGGAGCTGGAGGAAGAGGGCACTGCCACGTACGTGGCCGCAGGCGACACCGTTCGCATTACGGTAAGTAGGGCCAGTACGCCTGGACGCTTAAGCACGACGTGAGTGGAGTTTTGGCGTGTGCCTTGGGCGTGCAAACGAAAGACAATCGTCGAACTCCGCTGAAACATTAGGAAACTACAATCGCAACATTTAGCGAAGATTATTTACGCTGATAGACTTGGCCATCCCATATGGAACCCACTTTTTGCCACTGTATTTGGTCCTTTTTGGCGGTAGAAGGCATAGCAACAGTTTTCGAGCACAGTGACTCTCCCGAACCTTTTGTGCAGATGGACATTACTTTCCCTATGAGGACGGGAAGAAGAGAAGCAGAGGGCAAAAAATAGTACAAATCAGGCAGAGTCGCGAAGTCTTTGGCCTCGGTACAGCAGCTCGGCTAGTTATGTGCGACGCGGGACGGGCGCTTCTCCTTTCCACAGCACATCGCATGAGAGAAGAAGTTATGACTTTTGGAGATTGTTTGGCGAAGGAAAGAATAGCTTTACTAAAGGGGCTTGACCACTTAGAGGCTCCCCTTTTGTTGATTGAGCGCTTGCTTGCTCCTTTCACAGCGGCAGGGAGGTGCCGGGTCGACTTCAGCTTTGTAAACACAGCTTGTCGGCATTACCACATGGCAATAGACGCATATCTGGCTGTTGCTCCTTCCTTTCGGAAGGCCCAAAAAGTCCGACACAAGTGGATCCGGAATAGGGGTAAGATATGCGCGAAGATTCGTACGTGCTGCAGCAGATTATGTTGCGGGTGTCATTGCCACAAGCATCCGCCAATGGCTCGTCGTATGTCGAGGGCACGAAAGATATTCGAGGACCTTGAGATAAGACATGAAGCTTGCGTAATTGATCTGGCGCTGACGTATGAGTATTACTTGAGCTCACCCGAGCCTCCACCACCAGACGCACCTGCCAGGTGCCTTGCTGCCGGTTGTTTCATTCTCGCAGCGCAGCGAAAATTGCATCAAGTGAGCAGCACACAGCATGTCACAGATAAATAGGAGAGGGGCAACCTACTAGGAGTGTAGTTGCTGCGAGCGACCTTTGAGATACTGAGCACACTTCACAGCAGCATATCTAGCTGGAATTCCGGGGTGCTTAAATGAGTTCCGTGGAACTTGGCATTAGCTTAGAGCAGTCCCTGAGCTGCACCGAGCTCTTGCATTCTCCCTGGGTTTGCTCTGGTATTAGCAAGAAGACCGGGCATGCCTTGTCTCGCAGCAAGCCTGGAAATCGTCCCCGCTTAGCACATCTTAGAAGAATGCATATGGCAACGGCCGCTCCCACTGTCCCTTCTCAGGTCAATTGCCACTTCTTGCAACCACGAGACAAAGTTACCATGGGTATGGCTGAATGGACACTTGAAGAAGCCGGAGAAGACTTACGGATAGCCCATGCAAAGCTTAAAACTCTCCCTCGCCGCATGCGTTCTGGTCGGCGGCGAGGGCGGAGGCCTCCTGCACTAGTCACCTTTCTTTCACCCCAAGAATGTGTGACGATGAACGAACACCCTTGGTGGCGTGCCGCTGACCAGCACTGTGGGCCGTGTAGAGGGGAATACGCTCTTGCACCATGCACAGGGCTTGAAGGGCTTCCACCGCCTCCACCCATCGTTTCTAGCGGGCACATCTTAAGAGAACCTGCGCCCACGTGTGTACTGCCAACAATCCAGCCAACCGCCCTAGCACATCCAGCTCGTGCTGCACAGATTTCACCAGCTGTGGCGCTCGCCTATCCACAAGCTGCACCAGCTGCCTTACCCGTTGAACGGGTGCAACTATCTCCAGTATTAAATGCCGCTCCACAACTTCAGTTACCACCAGTCTCAGGAAGGCCTCTCCCACCAGGAATAGGAGTGGCAGCCACCAGCCCCCTGATGGCACCAGTTCATCTGACGGGGAAGGCGAAAGTGGCATTTCCGGGTGGAAAACCTGTTTTGACCCATGGAAGCAATGGTGGCGTCGGACGACTTGTGCACAACCCGACACAGGCTGCTTCCCTTAATTGTGTCGACAGCTTTCTTCGAATGAATTGATCCCAAGTGCTGCTACTTCCTCCTGTTTGCCGAAGGAAGACAACTTAGTGCAAGCAAAAGCCTCCAACGCCGATGCGTTTGCAAGGTGAGAAGCTGAAAAGGCAGGCATGGGAACGGCTGCACTAATGGCGGGTCCGACGCACATAGCTGCATCTGTCGGATTCTGTTCAGGTAGAGGCCTAACAGTATTAAAGAGTACTATTGAGAGACACTGGAGGTACGAGATGCAGTACCAATATGTCTTTTTTTCCGAATGTGCGCGTAAACGTATCGACCTGTGGAATTATGTTGTGTCTGTTGGCGTAAGCTGTCTCTGCTGTACAACCTAGCGCGAACACTGCCGATGTTGGTAGATAATGCTTTATCAGTAGTATCTTCCTGACGTCTGTCAGTAGAACGCACGAGACGTTTAGATGCAGTAAGAAATATTTCGGCTTATTTCTTGCGCTACGCTGCATACGAACTTAAACTGGTTTCATCTTTGGGACAGCCTTGAGTTTGCGCGTGTAATTTGCTACCTCCCGATCATTCAGGAGAACTTCGAGCTCGTTCAAGCAGGAATCACATCCATCCGAAGCACGTACTGTGCGCGTTCGAGCTATATATACAGGGGCACACATGCTTGGGCGATCTCTATAATATTTGGCCCGTCAGCTCTGGTTTCTCTGGCACGTCAGCAGTTGCATCTTCTCCAACCACAAGGAAGTACATGGACATAATGATGCCCTTAGTACTACTGCTGCAGTGAGAGAAGTGCGTTGCAGTCAAGCGCTCTCCAGCTGCTCCGTGCTCCTGCCCACTTCTAAAGTTTCGTATGCTAACACTTGGGGTGTTGAGACTGAGCACTCCGCAAACGCAGATCGTATTTCCCCACAGGTGGACTTTCTAAATTCACGTGTTGTTTTCTGCGCAAACAATGTATTACTGCCCGTAGGGGTCTCCAAAGACCGCATATATTGCCCATGGATGCGCTGTATGCAGTGTTCCTCTGTATCTTGCAATAAAACATGCGGCAAGCGTCTAAAACTGAAGGGCCAGATCGGTTACATAGTAAAACTCAGTTCGTTGCTCATTGCAGTTCGCGCGTATTCAACAGCTGGGGTCCCTGCTAGCAACGTGCATGGTAGCAACTATGGGCATTCCATTCAGAAGCGCTTTCCATGCAAAACTGCAAGTTTCTCAAGGAAACCGAAAGTTCCTCAGAATATTATGGGGTAGCACTTGTAGACGAGACCCATCTTCTCGAGGCGACGTTTTAGTCAACTCAAACGCTTGTGCGATGTTTGCGTGCTCTCATCCAACTAGACGTAGTCTTGCATCGTAAATTCCTCCATATTAGATGTTGAACGGCACTTGGGTCACCTCTCCTTATCTGTCTGTAGCAGCTGACTACAGAAGGAACGACAGGTGAGTCGCTTTATCAACCATTTCTCAATGATGGACTCTCAGCAGGACAGGGCTTGGCTCCAAACATTCCCCAGGGAACGGAGTCACGCCAAAGGCGGCTTTTGGAACTTGCCATGTACGTATATGGAAGCAGTTGTATTGTTGCATCCTAGGAGGGGGAAAATGGTATCGCCTANAACTCGTAACCAAAAAGCCCGGCGACTACGCTGCTACTGAAAGTAGAGCTCGTAATCAAGCGCTGCCTCGGACTCCCCGGTCTCCTTCCTAGTTGTCTGCCAAGATGCACACATGCAAGGAGGAAAAAAACCACACCATCTCAATTCCGTGCTTAGAAAAGCTGTTCGGGAATCTCTACACAGCAGGGAAACTCCAGAAACTCTGAAATATTAGTGAGAGTGGCTGCGTGTGGTGAATGACTTGACTTTCGTTCCGTGGACATACCTCTTCTTGTTTATGGAATGGCTTGGAGCGGAACATGACAGGTCTGCGTGGCCGCCTCGACGCAGTTTCGTTGGACTGGCGAAGTGACAACTGCAACTCATTCCAGCCGCATCTCTTCATCATAAAATAGTGCTGATTCTTTCGCCGTTGATGTCGGAGGCCCGCAAAGTGACTGGCTGTGCTCTAAAATGGTGCTCTCATGCAACTTGCCTGCAGTCGTTCGTCATTTTTCAGGTGTTGTTGGGTCAGTTTTTCCTGGCGTGCTCGTTCACGTCGCTGCTTCTCCTTAGCCTTCTCCAACTGATGCACGAGTTCCGGGTTTTCCGCTGTGCATCAAGCGCAACTACACGAAGCGCAGAACAGTAACAATGGAGCAAGCGTTCCGCTTTAGCAAACCGTCCTATTGAAATGCGTCTTTGACACATTTACTGGCTGCATTTGTTGGAAGTAGCGCTTGGATTCTTGCCTTCGTGCTTGGCAAGAGCTGCAAGGTGAGAGTCGAGCCGAGCTTCAATCTGCTCTAACATGCGTAGGCAGTCAGCAGACGCCTCTTCTGTCCGCATAGCGCAGCAGGCCTAAACATGGGCATAATCCTCTCATCTTTGAGAACACGAAAGACAGCGGGAGGAGCCTGTTGGCTATGAGTAGAAGCAATGTAGGTTATACCAGCAGAACGTCTGTTTCCAGTAAGAGTTGACCAACTCGTCATGGGAATAGAAAGTCATAATTTGGTAAATACTTCTCCTACATGCTGGGCAAATCAGTGCAGATCGGTTACTTTCAAAGCCACAAGCTGCATGTATGGCCGATACGTGGACAGTCAACTTTTGGAGTGCGGCAGATGCATCCGACTCTTGTTCCTGCGAGGCCAGTTCTTCTGCAGCGCAAATGATGAAACCAAGCAACATTCCATGCAACTACCCTTACTACTGGAGCTATGGCACTGTCGTCCGGGGATGCGGGCTCTACCGTAAGTCCCTAGCTAAAGCCTTTCTCACCAACGATGATCCTACGCAAGAAGTGGATGGATGTTAAATGATATCAAGCGCATCAGCGGTAGGTGAAAGTTACGTACCTCGATGCTGCATGCATTTGGCACGCTGCTGTTGAAGCTGTTGCTGAAGCTGGGCAATAACTGCTTCAAGTCCTTCCAATCGCGCCCCCATTTCAGCTCGAGTGTTAGCGAAACGCTTCTCCATCGCTTCCAACTCCTGCACATTCATTCATGCTGCACAGGAAACCTGGAACAGGTACAAATAGAGCGATTAATCAGCCGAAATAAATTATTACGAGTGCTTGCGGCATAAAGGGTCATGTTCCGGCGTGGCATTCCACGACGGCAGCAAATACGTTCGTAGTAGTGTGTCTTGAACATTAAATAAGGGCGTGGTGTCTGCCTCTGGGAAGGCCGCACAATGACGGTTTCATGTGCATTTTGGATTAAGAACAGGTTTTCTTCTTCCAACTCTTTAAAAAGGCGAAGAGGCTCCTGTGGGTCTTTAAAATAGAGGTCAAGAGCCGATAGTGCCATGTTTTCCGCTGTTTGCATAACGAATGAGACACAATTCGGGAAGCACTGGGGTACCTCCATTTACCTCAAGAAATCGTTGGGCTAAGCCAGTAATGTCCCAGTCCAGCATAACGATCCACCTACCATCAAACATGTTCTCGAACTCTGCTGCAGTCTTGAGTCTTCTGCTTAACTGTTTTTTTTTCTTTTCAGCCCTTTCCTCCAATTCTTTTCGCGGTCCAGCACCTGCAGGGCGCAAAGGCATCTGCAAGTTGTAGTTCCTCTAGCTTATAAAAGCAAGCTGTAATCTTTTCCACAACGTAGCCATGCAGGCAAAGAAAACCGGTTGCCGCACTTGCTTTAACTCCACGGGATTTCTTCCTCTCAAGCTCCTGAAGTTTTTCGCGGAGTTCGTCATCAATTCCTTCTAGGTCTGCGGCATACTGTAGTTGCTGCTGCTGTAGCTGACTCTGCACCCACTGCTGCTTTTGCTGCTGTACGCGCTCCTTAGAGAGCTCTTCCTGGTCTTTGAGCCAGTCCTGCAGAGGCGCGGAGCCAAAGGCTCGTAAGACAGATTACCTACCACTCCCAGATAAATTTGCCTCAGCTGGATTCCGGATATTTTTTCCGCCAGCTACTGGGAACATGGGAGCTAACTAGCTACGGGTCGGTACTTGACTGACCCGAGCTTACCTGGGGAGTAATATGCGTTAGGAAAGCTCTGTATCTCGAATATTCCTGAACTTTTTCTCGATTAGATGCTGCTCGAGCCTTCGTGGCGTCAAGCTTCTGACGAAGCTGCCGAACAGCTGTTGCTTTCTCTTGAGAAACCCGCGCCGCCTCATCTGCTTTCTGCAAGTTTACGAGGTAGACGCGCAGACGAAAGTCGCAAATATTCAAGCAGAAAGCAGTATTTTAGGCAGATTGGGGTGTGCTTGGATACGGTACTTTGCCTATGTCGTACGATGCTCGTGGCGAGTTAAAACAGAAACGCGAGCGCAGTAGCCCGCTTTTCTTCCTCCAACCAGCGCTCCTGTAGTACTTCATTCGGAACCAGGTGCATGAACTAAGCATATCACTCCTTCGTCAAGAGAGTGTGCTAGCTCACCCGAATGGCTTCGTGAGCAGCCGCATCACTGCTCCGGAGGAACTCGTCAAACTTCTGCGCATCCCGCGTAAGCATGCTTTCCGCTTTGCGTACGGCCTCTGACTTTTCCGCCGCTCGGTCGTGAAGCTTCAGTATTTCTGTTTCAATGCACGTTGATCACATGCTGCCCACTCATGTCGGTGACAATCTGGATGCCAAAGTGAACATGTTTTCGCCTAGTCTTGCAAAGCCCTGTAGGTCCACAATGTGCAGTTTACAGGAGCCTCGTGCACTCAAGACTAACCTGCCTTGCGAGTATCAATCGCCATTTGCAGCAAAAATGCTTCCCTTGTCTTTTCTACGAGGGCTCGCGTGCCTCCACGCTTCTCTGTCGAGTTCAAAGTCTTCCGAATTTGGCTCGGGTCCGTGTTCTTTTGTTTGGATTGGCTGCGAGGATCTCTCCCAAGAGAGGCACTTTCCTGGTGAGCAGGGGGACTCCCAGCAGCGTCTGCGGAGGGATGTGGAGAAGAGCCATGAGAGCCTGGCACGGGTGCAACCTGCCCTTCAGCAGGAGGAGACACTGTATCTCCTTTGGTGATTGATCCTTCATCCTTGACCGCATTTGCTGTAGCCGGGGCTCCTTGCGGTTCTTCCGAGCCACGGCTGGTCTCACTGGATTTGGCCTTCACAAGCAGACAACCCGGTTGCACAGTATTTATGAGTCATTCGTTTCGTACCGGCAGGGGGATCAGCGATTAAGCTTTATTTGGGGGAGTGCTGACACGGTGACATGAGGAGAATTACGTGCCTGCATGGCTTCCTTTAATACGAATTTATTTTCTCCTTTCTTTTGCTGCGATCCTGCAGGTTTCTAGGCTTTGTTTGTTTTGCTCTCTTCCAGATAACTCTGAGGTAAATGTTTGTAAAGTCCTTTCTTCTCAGGAGGTGAGCCCAACGTGATTACAGTCCCTAGCTCTAACAGGCTTGCGACATGCGCGTGAACAACGTAAAATGTGTTCCCACAAGTACGTCCACGTGTACGTGCAGCAGCCGCTTCGATGAAGAGTGGCAGCAAGTCACACGAGCCAACTTAAGCCAACGTAATGGAAGTCCAGCCTTACTATGCATGACCGACAACGCAGCATTTCCTACAATTCAATAGAAAATCGAGCTAAAAGCGGCAGAAGCAGCATTGGTGTGGCGTGCCACACTCATGAAGGAAATTACTGAAAACTGTCCTTAAAAGTCCTAGCCCATACCTCACATTTCATGGTAGAGCCATATACGGATTTGACGTAACGATACAGCAGCGACGGGCAGAGCGGCCGGCTGGCGAGTGCCGCAAAAGAAATTGAACTTGTTATCCAGAAGGCACCTCCCAGCCGCTAAATTCGTTCAAAGGTTGCTCTAAACGATTCCTTAAACAACGTTTCCATCGTCTGTCTGTTCATGCAATAATTGCTTACGGTCGCTGTGATCGCCAGGCGACTGTGCGAGAACTAACTGGAGAGTTAGCGTGCAAAGCCTCGAGAAAATGTATGGCCAAATGTGCGCCTTTTCTAGCAGTTCCTTACAAGGCCCGATTTTCAGGGTGTGTTTTCGAAACGGAAGTCCAGAAACTGCTCGGGCACTCCTTCATTCTGGGGCTGCCCGGGCATGCACCGAGAAAGGGACTGCTCAAAGATGCCCAGGAAAATAACCTTTGTTCTCTTTTCCTTCCATCCAAGGATGTTCAACTCATCTTTAAATAGCTTGAGACAGTCAACTTTTGAAGTAAGGCAAGCAATGCTGTCCCCCACTAGGAGACAGCATGCCGGTTGTGGCGATCTTTCGCTCCAGAGCTTCCACGCAGCAACTGCCAGAATTCTTGGTTGTTTTGCGGAGTCACCACCATTAGTTTCTTTGTTATGAAGGGATATTTGGGGTTACACATCCAATTCTGACCACCGTCACAGTGCATACCAGCACTAAATACAGCCGTTGGGTCACCTGGGGCGTTAGTGGTGTGGACAGATGGGCTTAGCTGTCACACCAACACACCCGAGCATGCCAAACCTCTCAATGCATAGAAATTGATATTTTTCAGTGGATGCTCACACGTAGAGCTGGCCAGACCGTGTTGCAACACTCCCTTGCTAAGCGGCTCGACGGCCATGACTTCTCTAGACAGCCCCTCTTGCTGCCCGTTCGTCTGCAGTGTTTTTCTTGGTATGAGTGTTAGAAGTAATATGTACCTAATGCTTTGACAAGCTAAATATCGGACAGTGAGGGGGTGATGGCTGCTGTATGTTGGCATGCGCCCAACTTCTGAGATATACGCAGCGATCCACGGAATGGTCGAAGTGTTGTTTAGTTTACTCCGGCTTTGTGTAGGGATTGTGACACTTCAGCGACTTCTCAGTTGTCGATACCACGTAGCTTTCAACTCACTGTTTGCATTACATGCCGTGTGGCCTGTCTGGAATGGCATCGGAGTGGCAGCATGCGCCCAACTGTCCAAAAAGCCTGCGATGAGGCAACTGTCAACACTACTGGACTTTCTTGTGAGAACGACTGAGTGTAGCCTTGTTGGCTTTCCTCTGAGGGCCCACGGGCGAGCGAGAACTGGTGTTGTGCGTCGGAGTTTCCATAGGCGTTGTTGCCTGGATCTTCCACTCATGCATTTAGGGATATAGTATGTGAATTAATCGTAGGGTTTCCAGGCCTTGCTTTCCACCAAGAAGCTCCGTATACCACTACTTTTTGGCTGATCTGCAGGCACCCTAGAGGACAGCAAATCGAAACCTACGAACTGAAAACAGGTGTTCGAGGATGAGTGCCAAAACAGAGCAAGCAGATGGGGGCAAAGCGGCCTTCAGAAAATATTTGGAGGATCATGGAGTCATTCGTCAACTGACACGCGTCCTTGTCGGGCTCTACGAGACTCCTGAGCGGCCTCTGAACGCGCTTGACTACATCAAAAGGCACCTGGGAGCGCCGACAGGTGACTGGCTTGCTGCAGCCTCGCGTTGTGAATATGTTTCCGAAACGTGCTCCAGGCATCATAGTTCCTTGTCTATCGTATTACGTGGTGTGCTTCCATAGGCGTTGAGGTGGATGCACTCCGGTCGGAGGTGCAAAATCTGACGAGGGAGAATGCTGCATTAAAAAGCAAGGTGGAATCACTGCAGCAAGAAGTGGAGCTCCTTCAACGGGAGCTCGCCGATTAATCGAGTTGTATCGATGTTTTGATGATGAAGAGTGGCGGTCTCCTTGGACATCAGAACAACATCGCAATAGGCACACCTTGGCAACGCACCTGGGCTTGAATGGTGGAAATATAAGTTGCACGAATGCCGTCTAAAGGAACGTAGCGCTGAAAATTTTGCCGTTTCGAGCACTGGGCGTCACAGCGACTGCAAATAAGTCAACTTAGGGCTACCCAAAGCGGTTGTCCGCAGTTCTCGAGCACTGTAACTGTTGAGTCAGTGCGCAGGAGAAAACACCTGATCTATACAACATTCCACTAAAGCTGTCGTACTACGAGAGGCAGTTTGAGTGGTATAGCTCTCCCAGAGAAGGCATACGTCTCTGAAGTTGCCTTATAAAAAACGTAATTTCAGTAATAAGGATCAGCGATAGCATGTGCCTTAGTAGTACATCTGCCGATTGTTAATAAAGCAAACGTTTTCTCCCCCTGCGAAACTGCTTTGAAGGCGGACACGTGAACCTCCTGCACATGATGTGTGCAATGATCTTGAAGTTTATCCAGATTGTTTTGCGAATGACTATCCTCTCCGAGATATTATTTTAGCCTGTGCATAATCTACCTTGAATTCGGTTTTATTTCAGTTTATCTTGTGGTAGGGTTCAGCCATACCATAAAACCATCAACTGTAACCTATACGGAACCTAAGCGCCTTAAATATCTTTTAACAGGCCCTCATGACCAATTAACGATTTAAACATTTCGACGGGCGACGGTTGGGAAGCCAAATTCCCTTCGACAGATGATGGAGTGCTATCACTGTTGAATCCCTACATACAACACAGCACACCTTCACAAGCACCACTGCTGCCTTGAAGTACTTCCCATTCCAGGCCGAATTAAGTTCACATCTCTTCCGATGCATAGACAACGTCGTCGCGGAGTTGCCTTGATTCGCTGTCATAACGTCGACGTTCGTGGAGCTGCATATCAATAGTGAATGCCTCCGTTCAAAATAGGTTGAGTTACCAGGCAGTTAGGCTTACGTTGTTGCAGCTACACCATACAATAGAGTGCCAAGGCATTTCCAGCAATCCCTCGGAGATACTAGCTTTGAAATCGAGAGCTCAACTGGGCTAACATCAGGTTTGCCTCGTCACGCATGGATTACTGGATCTTCTAACCATGCATCATATAGCTGGCGCTGATGTTCGTCCTTCGAGGATACTGTGACATTCAGCATGGAACCTACTGCCAAAAGCTACGTTTCAATGGAGAATTAGCCTCCAACAGGCAAAGAAGCTCGTCGCGCCAGCGATAAACCAGAAGCCGATGCCATCTCACTCCTTTTTGTGGGAGCTTGAGCTGCACACTGTTACCGCATTATTGAATGTCCCAATGCGGGCAAAACAGCGGGGCCGTACAGACAAGGTCGAGACTCTTTTTTTGGCGTCCCCGCCTGCTGGTAGAGCGGGTAGTAGTGAGTACTACCTGTGCTAAGGCAGTCTGAACTGCCTCTCGATTGGAAGCTGCTTTTATCTCTGTGATTCCTACTGACAGGAACCCTTTATTGCACCTAACAGCAGCACAATTTATGCGGCATTTGCTACCCGATACCTGCATCAGCTAGTTTGTAGGCGAGTAGCGCTCCAACGCCAATATAATGTGCCCAACAACTTGGGCAGTGCGTTGACTCACATCGGATACAACTGAGGAGGGTTATTCATTTGCCTAGTATTTAACGATGAGGCGGAAGTACACGTTGAGACATTGTTCGCTGCACTGCTCCGCTCGATCGCGATCGGTTCTCAAGGACATTGGAATCCGCAAAGGAGTGTCCAACACCGAACTTAGCTTTCCAGCAGGGCCACGGAAGAAATATTTACTGAATTAAAACAAAATTTGCCATGTTTACACCACACTACAGCGAGTCGTAGGATTTGCCGCGTCGGCTACCACCAAGTAGCATCGTGCTTCGACAAGGCGGATCGAGAGAAAGAAGTTATGTGTAGAGCCTTATAGCACACTTATCTAGGGAGTACTTTTCGGAAGTAAGACTGAAGGGAGCCTGTTATTATCACAAACTTCCATCCGAAGGGTAGACAGTTTCGCGGGTCACCTGGTGTACTGCTGCGTTGCTGCACGTGCCTGCACTAAAGTAAGGCTGCCGATCGCCGTTGTCTCGATAACTGTTGATGAACATACTCGGTCACATACCATAATTTCTGTTTTCCCAAAATTAGCTTGGTTTCCTGCAGACGTTTACTGGGCAACTGAGAATATCGCTGCCTTCACTAGACGCGGAGCTTGCAATAGATATTACCCATTTCTCGACCCATGTCGCTGAACAGGCAAGATGGAATGAAGAGAACCACATTATGCGCATCTGCTCTACTGAAAGTACAGCGTAAGGTGGACGCTGCGGCGCATGTTGGATGGAGGGACCCAGAGCCAAGAAGGGGCGTCAACGGAAGGGTGATGCTCAGCTTTCAATAGCAAAACTGATTTAGGAATGAGGTGGGGGAAAAGTAATTGGGGATTTGCTAGTGCGTCTGGGCTC